GCTCCGCTACGGCTCGTTAATTTTCCGGAAATGTATCCGAACTCTGTCGTAATCGCGCGTTGTCGCGAGGTGCGCCACCCTCGGCGACACGGCCGTCGGGGCCCCACCTCGACGAATCTAATCACGGTGGAGGCATGCAAATCGCGAATGCGCATGCAAATTCACACGTGGCCGTCGCGCGCCGCACCATCGTCGTCGATTCGCGAATGCGTAAACCCGTTTCCGCATAAATATACCATACTTGATATACAGCCCGTCAGGAAATTGAATAGCCTTTGTATTTGCCATCGCATCTGATTCTCCGGAAAGCAAATATTCTTTCATTTTAATTTCACCAACAATAGACAAAGAGAGAGAGGGAGAGAGAGATATATACATATATTATCCATTTCGATTTCCCGAAACAGTCGCTCTCGCCATTTTTATGTACATATCGTCGCCTATATGTTCCGGATTATTTTTAAATTTCACCGATATCGAGGCGCGACCTTTTCCATACTATTTTAATGTGAGTCGATTCGAATCGCCTTAAGAAAGCCGAGGGACGAGGTGAGGACCTTGGGATAGAATTTCCGACACTCGATTACCGCGCGAGGTCGAGAACTCGCACGACCGGAGGAGATGCGAGTAGAGGAGGAAGGGCACCGGATCACCCCGCATTTTCATACTTTATTATTTTTGCATCCTGCGAAAAAATTAGCGAGATTTACCCTCGGGAGTAAGTTCTCCTCGTATTTTTCGTTTGCAGCGCGAAGGCGCGCGCGCGCGCACCTTGAGAAGTATGAAAGGATCTTTGTAGCGCGCATATAACGGGGAGTCGCGCTGGCAGGCGGGCAAGGCAAAGGCAAGGCAAGACAAGACACGGCAAGGCCTGGCAAGACGCAAGAGAGGGCTTGGCTCTCTCCTTCTCTTCCTTCTCTCTCTTCCTCTCTCTTCTTTTCTCGTTCTTCCTATCTCTCCCTCTTTCTCTCTCTCTCTCTTTCTTCTTCTTCTCTCTCTCTCTCTCTCGCTCGCTCGAGTTCGGCCGCCAAGTCGAAGTCGCGTCGCCGCCGTTTCTCAACCCTTTCGCGGTTACGTCACGTTAAAAAAGCTATTTGGGGTCAACACCCCGCGCAGCAGCGACACGTGTAGTACTTCTCGGTTCCTCCGTTCCTCCCGCTCCGCTCACCGCCGCCGTCCTCCACCCCGCGAACGCGAAGACAGCCCTCTCCTCCTTCTCCCTCCCTCCCTCCGACTCTTCCGCGCGCGCGAGAGCGGTGACGCCATTGCTGCCACTTTCCTCCCTCCCCCTGTCTCCTCGTTCGCCTACTCTAAGTGTCCCTTCTACTCTCGCCGAGGTTACCACCGGGTTTCTAAGCTCCCTAGACGAGCCAGGGCCTCCGTCTTGTTTCTGGCGAGGAACACGTGACACCGTAGGCGCCAAACTTCGCGGACGGATAAGGATGGGATGTTCGCCACATTGCGGGTACTGTCGATATTTGATATTCGGGGAGAGAGCGTGGATTACGTTCACTCATCTGAGAGCAGAGGAGGGGAAAGTATCTGAAGCGATATCGAACAAGCACTAACCCTCGAACGTGAAAAATGCCCTCGATCATCAATGCCGATCTCGCAATACACGAGTCTTCTTGCGACAGAGAGTGACTGACAGAGAAGGAGAGCAAGAAGCTTGGGAAAGATAAGATAGGAGATAGAGGGAGACGGAGAAAGACAGATAGAGAGCAAGGGAGAGAGAGAGAGAGAGAGGCAGATTGAGAAAGAGAGAGGAGGGGAAGCAGCCCCGAGCGATACAGCCCTGGCCGTGGGCGCAGCAAAGTGGTAGGAGAGGAGGCCAGCTGAGTTTCTCGAAGAGCGAGCGAGCGAGTGAGCGAGCGCTCCAAGCTAGAACTAGCTAGAGTCTTGCTAGAGCGAAGCCAAGGACACTAGACGATCAGCAACAGCAGCCGGAGGAGTCAAACGGCGGCGGTGGCGGCGGCGACGGCGGTGGTGATTCCCCTTCACCCCGACCCACATCGTCTACGTGCGCGAACACCCCTCTACCCCCGTTGCCGCCGCAATCCTCGCCCCCTCCACACCTCGACGCTCGGCTCCCGCCGCCGTCACTGCCGCCGCCCCGAGAGTCTCTCTCCGCAGCTTCCCCTTCCAGACACTTTTTTTTGTCCGACTATACGCCTCTCGTCCATCGCGACAAGGCAGCCTCCGAGCCTTTTTATCAGTCGACCGAAAAGATCCGTGGGGATCCTGCCGCATCGCGAAAAACAGACGGAGAGAAAGAGAGAGAGCAACCCTTGCTCATGCTGCGAACGAATACGCACACACAGGTACATGCAGGCCCGTGTATAAATATACTACTTGTACGCGTACATCGGGCTGAGGCGTTCTCTGTCTCTCTCGGACGAACGAGGTTCGCCTCTCCCCTGATTTTCGTTCGCGGCAAGGGTCTCGCGAAACGGCGCGGGCGTACCGTTAAACGCGCTCTCTACCGAAGGGTGAGGGTGAGGGCAGAGCGGAGAGCGAGAAAGATGAAGAGAGAGAGAGAAAGAGAGAGAGAGGGGGAAGGAGAGTTACAGGCACGGAGTGCGCGCGATATGAATTCGTGGCAGCAGCGTGTTTTGCAACTCGAGAGACCAGGGTTGTTTTAAATATATTTTGCTTAAAAAAAATTCTCTCTCTAAATATATTTCTATCGGTTCTAAATACATATCAAACGCAACGTTCTTTTCGACGCGTTTTAAACAAATATTTAGACCATGTATTTGTTAAAAAATTTTTTTCGTATTTATTCGAAACATGTTAAAAACCTTACGCTTTATTATTAAATAAGGTATTTCTCTTTTCTTCTTTTTAAGCATGTTAGTTCAACCCTGCTCGAGACATGCGGTCAGGGTGGCGCGATGATGATGCCATTGCCAGCTTGGCGATTCTCGGCGAGGCGCCTTGTTACCGAGGACACGTGGGTGTTATTGACAAGAGCGTCACGCCGACGATGACGACGGAGACGCGAGAGACGGCCACGGGAATCATTGCCTCGGAACGTCGCGACCCAACGTTCGTCCAACGTACGGTGGAGGCAGAGGCGGATCCGAGGAGACCGTCGACGACGCGCAACAGTGGTCGGTAGGTTGGTGCACGTTGAAGTTCCGTTGCGAAGCGACCTCGTGACGACGGCGGACAGAGGGAGACGGACGCGGTCCGCCGCCGCCACCGCCGACTGGTGGAAAAAAGCGCGCAGGCGCGAATCGCGCTCTCTCGCTACTAACCCGCGACGACACCACCAACTTGTGCTCCCCCCTTCTCTCCCTCTCGCTCTTCACCCGCTCCACGCTCGCGAATTTCCTGCCCCGAGGATGAAGGTGGCGTGCGGGGGGAGCATCCCTCTCCGCGTGCACCCCGCGACGTTCGAGGTCGCTCCATCCCCACCCTCTCTGCCCCTCGGGAAAGGACTTCGGTCTCTCTTCTCCTCTTCTCGTCTTTCTTCGCCTTGACCCTCGCCCCTACCCCCCAAAATGGTCAGCGCTTTCACGACAGAGGATGAAGTTTCTCGAGTTGACGGGTTGAATCCGTCTGATCGCGCTAATTTCACGCGACGAGCCAGTTTGAGGTCAAAGGGTAGGTTCCGATTTCGATGGGATTGGGATATGTTGTAAAGTAGAAATATCAAAAGACTCCCGTCCTTTTCCCCGTGCTCATCTCGATATTCGAGGACTGAGGCAACCCCTTGTAAACGGGAGGAAATTTAATTTCCGGCGGATGTCGTCGGAACTACGATATGTATGAAGAAATGGTTCATGTAAAAGTTTCATGGTATCTTGTATATTTTACGATGATGTATTCAAATTCTCTGAAAGTGTCGAAATTTTTCATTCATCCCCATATCATCTTATTTCTGCGAATTTTTAGATTTTTATCAGACCTGAATTCTGAAGGAAATTTTACGCTGAGTCCAACCATATGAATAACAACGTTGATTTTCGAAACCGCAAATTTGACAAATGTGATGTAAGTATCGTGCTACTTTGCGTCGCGCTGTGGATACGCGTCCAGCCCAGCTCTTACGCGATACCCGGCTGCGGCAACAACTGCTTGTTCCGCATATTGTTTCAGTGTTACATTCCACATTAGCCATTAAAATTATGTTCTGTAAATATTCTTGTAATATGAGACATCATAGTTGCGATAATATCCGTTGAAAATTAAATTTCATATCATCGACGGAGGGTTGTTTCAACTCTCGAAATGATTGCGTGACCTAATATTTTTTAAAACATGTCGAAAGTTTGCCGAAATCTGTGAGGAGCACTTTTGGACCTTTCCTTGTGAATTACTGTCCCATTGCGATATCTTTCCGACAAGGATACATCTTTCGAGCGTTCGACTTTTCGGCCGTCATCGTGGATGCGACGTGCGAATGCAGAAGTGGAATTTGAAATTGCAATAGCGGTGTGGAACGTCGGCCGACTCGGAGAGAGTGAGAGAGAGAGAGAGAGAAAGAGACAGATAAAGAGCGAGAGAGAGAGAGAGAGCGCGTGAGAACAAAGGGGCGAGAATAAGTGCCCTTTTTCGAGGGTAACCGGGGGTGAGGGTAGAGGGAGCAGGGAGACGAAGCGAAACACAGCCGAGAGAAGGACGACGCGAACGTAATCAGACCGAGAGAGGAAGAGAGAGAGAGAGGAAACGAAGCGACCATTCCTTGCGGGGGCTAACGCGAAGAAGCAACACACAGGATAGGGTGGGGGGGGTGGAGGAGGTTAACGAGTGCGACGGAGAGGTGCGCGTCATCGTGTGCGAAAGACGGATAGAGGGAGAGAGAGAGAGAGGGAAGGAAAGAGAGAGGCAACTCCGAGCGAGATAGCCGGAGAGCAAGCAGGGGTGTCGGGGGGGCGCAAGCGTAGGGTGCGAGGGTGGGGGAGCGAGTCAGAGAGAGCTCGCCAGGGTAAAGAGCGCGAGAGGGTGTAGTGGGGAGCCGCTCGGTACGTCTCTAGGTGGCGGTGGTGGTAGAAGAGAGGTTGCGTTCTCGCGGGAGGTTGCGACGCGCTCTCGCGCGACTCCGACTGGACTCGGCTCGACTCGGTCGTCGTCGGCACGGTGGTTCGTACGGTTGAACGAGGGCGCGCGAGCAAGCGAGGCGAACGTTCGTTCGTCCGTCCGTCCGTCCGGGCGGGTGTGTGTCGCGATTTTGCTGCGCTGCTGCGTGCCTACGGCGCGGTGCGCGGCGACGACGGTGAAGGGTACCGCGAGCGGAAGGCACGGCCGTGGCTGCTAGGCGGGCGTAGGCGAGGTTCCGTGACGGCCGTTCGGTGGCGCAGCAGAAATTCCCTGGCGCGGGTTGGTCAACGGGCAGGCGGTTGGTGTGCGTGAGTGTCTTCCCTCTCGCTCGCTCGCACTGCGCGCCGTCCAAGTGTGCGTGGCTCGCGGTGTGTCCGTGTGTACCGTACTCGGCCGCGTACGCGTATCTGCCCCGAGAGTCCGTCCGCGCCTCGACTTGCTGACATGGCGTCCTAGTGCCGCACACGGGCGAAGTCGCACGTCCTTTCCGCGCACCCAACGGGAAACGGATTTCTCCACGCTTTTCATCCCGGGTGGCGGTAGTGATAGTCGTCGCCGCCGTTGTACTCAACCACGTCGTCGACGTCGAAATCGCGAGGATGCCAAGGTAAGTGGCGAGTGGTGCGCGTCGCGACGCCCGCGCCTCGCGACCAGGCGATGTGTGTGTGTGTGTGTCTGTCCGTCCGTCCGTCCGTCCAATCCTTCCTCGTCGTGTCCGTCGTTATCGTTCCTTTCGTCGTCGTCGTCGCGTTCCGACGGGGGTTCGCGAAAAGAGGAAACAGAGAGGTGTGCCGCCCGCTCGTCCTCTCTATCTATCTCTCTCGGTCTCGCTCGCTGTCGTCGGTCAGGACCGGGCGCGGTGTCGATAAGAACGAGAAACACGGCGGAGCTCGCGAGACGACGTCGGGCGAATACCGGATCCGAAGCGAAACACAGTGCAGACACTACGAGTAGCAGCAGCAGGGTCGTTGCCATTTCTAGCCACCCTCGCGAATCGATATCGCCAGCGTGGCCAGACGAACTTCCTCTCGTTTCCTCCCTCGCGAGACACGTATTTACCTCTTTTGCGCGGACTCCCTACACCCTCCGTTCACCCTCCCGCCGCCTTTGCGTGCGACCCTTGTACCCGTCTCGCTTCTCCGTTTTTCTCCTCCCCCCTTCACCGTCTCCTCCTTCTTCGGTGCTCCTCGTGTGGTGTATTCGTGCGCGCGGTGTTCAGCCCCGTGAGTGCTCGCGAGTGCGTCTGTCTGTGCGCGTGCGTGCATATGCATACATATATGTGTGTGCGCGCATGGGTCTGTGTTTACGTATACATGCGTATTCGCCGTCGTCTCTCTCTCTCTCTCTACGTGGCTGCGTCGGAAGGGTTAACACAGCGCCGAGTCGGCGGGGCGGAACGGAAGAGGTTAGTTTCGAGGTAGTTTCTTTTCCACGAAGGCGAACTCCGATACAAAAAGGACTCTCTCCCGCTGCCTGCCTCCCACCCTCCTTCCTTCCCTTTCTACTACCCTTAAGAAGGAGAGAGACGGGGAGAGAGGGAGAGAGAACGAACGTGCGAGATCGAGTGAGACGGAGAGAGAAGGAAGGAGAAGGAGAGACAGCGAGCGAACGAGAGAGAGCGCGCGCGCGTCGAGGGTACTACGTGGCTTATCGGCGCATCGACGGGCGACGTGCCTCTCGACGTGGATTTTCGCTCGAGAGAGGGTTGCGTAAATCCCACCCCCTCCCCGCGCGCCCTCTCCCCGTTCCTCTACCCTCCCACCGTGGCACCCCGCTCACCCGCGCGCTCTCTCGACGTGTCGCGCGGTCGACAGCGCGGCGTTGCCCATAGGCGCCGATACGCCCCGGGGTGTCGAGGCCGACTTTAGCCGATTCGGCATCGCTCGGTTATCTTCGGCCACGTCCGTTGGTCCCGTCCGCCGGGCATCCTCCCCCTCGCAGTCGGTCGCGTTCATTGAAGTCGTGTGCGTGCAAGCGAGCCTTCGCTTGCTTCGGTCGGATCCGCTCGTCTCTGCTCCTCACTCGTGCGTGCGTGCGTCAGCCAGTCAGTTAGTCACTCACTCACTCACTCGGCGACATTCGGTTTTCTTCCCTTGCGTGCGACGAATGAGAGTACGTGTGTTCCATTTATTACTCGCTAACGTACAGACGCTCGGCGGCGACCGATTCTCGACATCGCGTCGTCGTAACGTCCTTGTCACCATAACAGGTGAGACTCGGGGCGCCGTCGGCGGTCCACAGCCTCGAGCACGTGTCGCGGTGTTCCGCCCGTCGTTGTTGCTTCACTATCGTCGTCGTGGTTGCTCTCGGTCGGCGAAGGAGAGAGAGAGAGCGATGGAGAGGGGAAACGAATGTCGTCAGTGTCGCGTCGTCGCGCTGTAATTAAGCCACCCGACGCGCAACTTAGTTGGTGATAACAGCATTGTGCAACCTGTGTGTATCCCGCGTCCCTCGAACTACGCGCCGCACACGGAGGCGCGTCGTGTCGTGTTTTTGTGAGCCAACACGGCGGACAGGGTGCTACCGGTGTGTATGGGTGAGTTCTTTTTATTTACACGTGTCTGTGTCGCGCGCGAGTGTTTGTGTATATGTGTATATGTGCAAACACGTAGGGCCGTATCACCATTATCGCCGTAACGCGGCACCCGCCGAACGAGAAGCGCGACAAAAGTTGCTCACGCGAGAAGTCGATATTTCTCAGGTTCGGGGAAAAAGGCGGGGGGGAAGTGTGTCAAGAGACGAGTGTGACAGAAACCGTCGTCCTTCGCAAACCAACTGCGCGATTATTTTATCGTTTCTTCGTTTCGAAATCGATTCTTATCTTCGACGCGCCAGCGTTCGGAAGAACGGAGCGGCCCGGTTTTACCCTATCGCCGAGAGAGAGAGAGAGAGAGAGAGGGGGAGAAAGAGCGAGCGAGCGCGGTTTTACAATGGCCAAATAAATAACCCGTTTCGTCGCATGTTTCGTCCTATCTCAGCTTGAAATCCGCGTTATCTCGAAGATATAGGCACACTTGAGCACAGATTAGACTCGGCTCCGTGTTTCACAACACTGTACAAAGGGCCTTTACACGCGAGCTTTGTCAAGTGTTTATAGTATAAAGGATGTCATCAAGAACCACCGTCACACTTGTGATTTACAAGAGGGGGAAGAGTGTGCCGGTGTACTACTTCTCTCTCTCTCTCTCTCCCCTCTATAAAACCTCGTAAACGGCTACGTTACGCAAATATGATTTCCTCGATGAGTCCTTCGAGTCGAGAGCGAAAATTCGTTCGATTTCCCTCCCAACACCGTTCGGGCTAAGAGGATCGAAATACATCATCTCCGCGTAGCGCTTCGCGTGCTCGCTCGTAAATCGCTCCCGAGGCCGCTCGAGTGTCTCACGACGTGACAAAAAAGTGTGCTGGATTCGAAAAGCGCCGCGGCGACGAGGGTCGCTGGGCGGGCAAGTGAGGCAAGAAAGGGGTCGCGCGGAGAGAAAAGGGCTGCGGTGCACGCGGGCGACAAGTGCGTGCACGCAACGAACCGTCGACACGTCCGTACCCACGTGCGTTCCGATGAGAATTTACATGCGACTTCCTGCGGGCTACTCTCCCTCTCCCCTTCTTTCTCTCTCTCTCTCTCTCTCTTTATCTCTCTCCCGATTAGAGTAGCGTGACGATTTTATCGCGGTACCCGCGAGGGGTTGAAGCGCCGATTATGGTGGCGATGATGATGATGATGAGGGGGAGGATGAGGTGAAGAGGAGGAGGAGGATGATGGTAGTAGTCACGGGAACGAAGGGGAGGGCATAGATAAACACAGCCGCGTGTACATATAGGGGGTTAATATTCGTCACGCATCGAGTCCGACGATCTTTTGATTCTCCTTGTCGGCCGTGGGGACTCGAGAACTTCCTGTTCACTCGTCCCCCTCCCCTTTCGTCGTTTCCCCCGTTTCTGTAATCGTCCATTATCTATTTAGTCTCTTTATCGGACTCTCGAAACTTCCCTTATCTGGAGACTTTACTATCGGTTATGTTTCTCTCCCTCTCGAAGCCTGCGTCTCATTTTTCGTTTGTACCGGGTTTTCGACGTTTTTTTCCTTGTCTTTTAAATTTTGCGATGAAATTTTTCCTCCGAATTGCGCCCCGCTACCGGGCTTGCGTCGCATCTCGCGGCGGGAGGAACGCGCGGGGTGCTCCCTGAAGCGAGAAAAAGGGTTTCCGTGTATCGCGACTATAAAAGCGACGGGGGTTTCCTTTTTCCTGTTCTTCCACGGTGAGCTGAAATCATAGCCCGACGATGTTCTCTCCGCCGCGCTGTTCCTCCCGCTTCCTTTCGTTAATTAATGTACATTCGGTCGTACTTGGACCGTGTTAATATCCATATCACCGAATCCATTATTGCAAGCTCCCCATCTTGAAGCTAATTCTTCGCGTATCACGCGAACGTATACCGGGTGTCCCGTGTACCTGCTCGTGTTTGCTCGCTCACCGATCGTAGTGCGATACGGTGGAGACTTGATACAGCCGAGTATAATTTGCCTTTATTGGATATTCGATTGAATACACACACACACACACACACACCCGTCTCCCAATTTTAAACACGTCTCTCTCCTTCGCCGGCCACGTGAAACTCGCCGTTAATCGGTTCCCTCGTCTCACCAGTGAAACACGCATAAAAAGAAGCGGTACACACGAAGAGTTGGCCCATGTAACGGTGAAGACTGTTGCAACGTAGCGACGACCGGCCGCTGTCCGCCCTCCCGCTTTTCCTTATCCTCTCTTGCCTTTTATTACACGTGCGGATTACGGCTGTGTGGTCGTCGAGATATATCCATTACAAGAATGTCGGCCTCGGACAGCGGTTTGCACTTTTGCCAACTTGTCGGAGTTTTGATTTTCAGGGTAGATAGGGATAAACGCGCGGCATTGCTCGTCATGTGCACCGCAAGCGTGATTTTACGGTGGCAGGGAAGGAAGGAGGGGAGCGATGCCACCGGGGATTTACCTTATCGGGTTTCGTTATTTGGAAAATTCGTAATTCACAAATTATTAGGTGAACTCTTCGCGAGGTCGATGTTTTTTACCAAAAAAAGTCCTCGCCTTGAATCGTCATCCTCGAGTCATTCCGAAAATTCCGATCCCGGCGATATCGCAATAATAACAACTCTTAATCGAAAAGCAACTTAGGGTCGCATATTAAAGTCATTAGGAGTAATTATGATATAAGCGAGAATCTTTGACATTTCAGCCCCGAGTAATTTCCGTTATCTCGGCTCGGGACAATATCGAACAAATGACAGCAACGCGAAACCGTCGATGATATTATATTTCTCCGGTCGTGATGAAGATGTCGAGTCCGCATCGACAATTCGACGTCGAGTTGGAGATTTAATTTATACGGATTAGAAGTTACATTCATAAATTCAAATGAACTCCGGCGAACGGATGATCGTTGGAAATCCCGTGCGCAGTGTGCATCAGACCGGGTTACATAAAACCCCCATTTCGAACAAAGCGCCGTCCATTCTCACGATAGCACCGATGGACGAGCCTTCGCATTCACGCTTGTTTCCCGCCCCTGTCTAGGTCCTTGATTCAATTAGTCGATCGATTTTTC